TCTGAACAACTTGATAAGTCCACAGGTGGTCATTCTTACTATCACAAGAAGTAATTCAGGCACCAGTTTGTGCCGTATGGTGGTGCTGGGCAGATGGTGCTTGTTCATTTGTACAACAAGGTGTGGAATCTTCCATTTAGAGTCAGCACTTAGAGGCAAAATGGAGTAGTGAAGGGTCAGGCACAGCCTGAAAAGTGGTGCTCTGCACCCCATGGAGCCTCCCGGGAGGGCTGGCCCGCTCTCCAACCACCTCACACCTGTCCCAGAGCCTGTCGTCCAGGTCTAGCTAGGGAAAGATCTGGGTGGCTGGTGGATTCCCTGGAGAGGATGTGGACCTTCACGCTGGGAAGACCACAGCTTCCCCTACCCTGGCTCCGTGGGCTTCCCCTTCCAGACCCCAGTGCCTTCCTGGAGGTCACGTGGATGACAGGGTGTCAAGAGGTGGGGGGAGTAGAGGAGAGAGAAGCCTTCTGTGTGTGCAAACTCTCCTCCTCCACCGTGGGCCGGAAGCTCAACCCAGAATAGAACAGGCTGCTTTCATGTCCCAGACCCGGTTGCGAGGCCTGAGAGCAGGCGGGTTTAGATGTAAAAATAGAAAAGGGGCATGTGCGTGGGCCGGGCCTCCACCCACGGGGTTGGTGTTTTTAAACAGAACTTCCTAGGAGGGTGTGCCTCCCACTGTCATTTTACATAGAAAACTGACCCAACCAAACCTCTTGGAGGGCAAAGCCAGCAGCCAACCAGGGCTAGGGGTGCCAGGCAGTCCCACTTGGGGAAGAGAAGAAGATGTGGGGGGCTGAACTGGGAACTGCTGCTCTGTACACAGGGAGTCACGGGGGGCAGGCGCAGCCTGAGGACTGCTGCTCTGCACTCCTAGGCGGCCTGATCTACAGGGCTCTGGCTCAGACCTTCCTCTCTGCCCTCCAGGGCTGAGCTCCTGCCAGAAGAGCTGCAGAGGTCGTCGGGCCCAGCCTTGTCCCACTATCCCCAGAAAGCCTCTGTTGACATTGTCAGCTGGTGGAGAAGCCAGGCCTGTCCTCGGCACAGGAAGCAGTAGGCACAAGAGAGCACATAAGCTGGAGTTAACCATCAGGTCAGACTCTGAGCAGGACCCTGGGCTAAACAAGCCTGGGGACCCAGAGCTGACCAACAGGGCCCTGGCCCAGGGAAGGACATGGGTGGGCATCAGGCAGCCTCAGGCAGCAAAACGAGGCTGTTTCTCCTAAGAGGCATAGAGGAGGGCCTGGAGTAGGGCTGAGACCTGAGCAGACCTGGGGACGAGAGCCTCCCCACCTCTGGCCTGCCACACAGGTTCCCGTGAACCACCCTCTGACCCTGTCCCCTCTGCTGCTCTCACCTCTTCCCAGCCAGGGCAAGACCAGTGTGAGAGGGCCACAGTGGGAAGGTCTGGGATCAAGGAAGGCCAGGGGCCCAGAGGGCAGCTCCTGCCTGGGCCAGATCCCTGGTGTGTGTGCTTTCAGCTCACTCTCCTGGCAAAGGACCAGCCCTGGACCCTGTCCTCACAACTGGGCCACCTCCTTCCCAGACTTCTCTTCCCAGGTAGATGGTCCCCCAGTGAGCTCACCCTCAGCCTCTCTCATCCCTTCAGTGCTCCCTGGTGGCCAGGGAGTTCCCAGCATGACTCCTGCCAGCCTCCCCAGGGGTGGGAACCTGCCCCTGCTGTCCCTAACCCAGCAGACTTTGACCTTGGCCCTACCCAGGAATAGCCCTGCCAAGGTGAGGCAGCCTGGTAAGAAGGTGGTTGGTCCACCGTGGGCACATCCTGTGGATGGGAACAAGTGAGAGGGCAGGTTCATCCTCTGGATACGGGAACCCAGTTAGATAGCACTGACTGAAACCTCACCTTTCTTTGAGCTTTTCAGGTTTGGCTTCATGTATTCATCCATCAACCATTTATTGAGCTCCTACTGTATTCTGGATAGGTGTTTAGCCCTGTGGTGTAGCAGTGGCCTGGGCCAACATAGGCCTGCCTCTGTGAGGTGACCTTGTTGGCACAACCCATCATTCAAATCCATGCCAGGGACAGGCACATGGGGGACCAGATCCCTGTGGGCCTCACCTGTGTGCCCTTCCTACGGTGCTCTGCAGAGGCTTGGTCCCTCTCTGTCTAGCCAGGGGCCTTGCCTCCCTCACTGCACTGCTCACTGCACTGGACCTGCATCCTGCACACCCTCCCCGCTGGGGGCTAAGTCCTCCTCACCCACGCCTGTCCTGCCGGCTCTGGTGGGAACCCCCAAATGCCCCCTCCTTGGGCCTCAGCCTCCTGCAGCTCCTCACTCTGACGGCTTCTATGAGCCATCCTGGGCATCAGCCAGGGCTCCCTCCTCCAGACTGGGGTTGGGCTGCATGGGAGGAGAGGAGTGGCCCAGTGGTCAGAACCTCCAAGGTGCAGGCTGCGCCTGTCCCCATTTAGCCTCAATGCCCTGTGTACTACAGCAGACTTGCATTGCTGGACATTATCCTCTGGGCAGTGGGTCCATCCAAATACTGCAGTGAGCTTGGTCGCTGCCTCTGGACTCCCAGCCTGGCATCTGAAGCCAGCTCCATCCCCATTCATGCTCCTGAGGGGGCCACCATGTTTGGCTTGGCTCTCCTCCTCTCCTGGTCTTGGTCCTCCCTCCCCACCATCCTGTGGGGATAGGACACTCTCTGTGACTCAGTGACATCTGCTCACATGTCTACTTGCCCCCTTCCATGAGCCACAAGGATGGGGATTTCCCTGCATGTAGGGGGTTTCCAGGGCCTGGCAGGGGGCAAGACCCTTGGCTGAACTGGACACCCAGGTCTTGTGTGTCCAGACCTGAGGTCACGAGTGCTGGGTCATGAGCCTCAGCTCAGTCCTGAGCCCAGTCCCAGGAGAGAGGCAACCATGTGGGGTGCTAGTGGGGGTACCCAGGAGGCGTTTCTGAGGGCTGGGAGAGCAGGATTTGGGGCAAGGCAGCCTGGTACCCAGCTTCTGGGCCCTGGAGGGCCCAGCAGCTCCTATCTCCTCCTCCTCTCCCAGGACAAGTTAAAATGGTCCAAGGCAGGAAGTGGCAGAGGGTCACAGGCAACTCTAGGTGGGGTGAACAGAGGGAGACCTGGGTAGCCAGGCACATGAAACCTTGCTTTGGGACATAGGCAGGCAGCTGAGAAAACTAGCATCAGCAGCCTGCACAGGCTCCCGAGTCACTGGGGTTCAAGTCCAGTTCTGAGAGCTAGACTGCAGGTGGACAGGGCAGCTCTGGGCTGAGCCAGAGAGTAGTTTCAACCTTGAGGGCTAAAGGGCTTCCCACCAGCTTCTCCCATGTGTCCCCAGCAGCAGATGGCCCCTGTCATCTCACACATGGGGAAACTGATGCCCTGTTGGCTAAAGGCTCCTTTTCTCTCCTGCCTGCACCCTCCAACTCTGGTGTGCCTGGTCTCTTGTCTAGGCTCAGGGTCTGGCCACTAGTTTTCTGGTCACTTCCAGTCCCACCAACCTAGGTAATCTCTCTGACCCCAGTGTGTCTCACCAGCAAGGAGGTATATCCAGGAACAAAGTGTCCCCTTCTGGAACTGGGAACTTTAGTGCTGGGCAACCTTGGGATAGGTGAACAGTGACTGGGCTCATTCTCAATCCAGCTACTATCCTGGACTTCCCCTTGATCTAGTCTGTCTGCCAAGGTCCTCAGGTGTCTCAGCCTAGATCATTCTCACCCAGTCCTTCACCTGCTACTAGTCAGCCCCTGAATGCCCCTGTCCCTGCCTGCTCTGGAGTGGCCATCCAGTCCCTGTCTCTGCTGCCCTGCCACACTTGGGTCCCTCAGGCCCAGCACATCAGGGCAGATGTTGGTTGGCCTCCCATCTGGGTAGGGCCTAGCCCCTTGTCCTGCCCCCAGCTCTATGGCCACCGGCCATATCCTGTCCTTCTTCACAGCTTCCTGGGCTCTGGGATTCAGGATCTAGTCCCCATCCAGATCAAGTTTAAGCAGTAGGTGGCTTCAGTGGAAGGCTCCAGTCTTCCACCAGCTCAGCAGGCCTCACTCATCGCCCAAGGACACCTCCTCTCCAACACTGGCCTGCTCCTGAGGGCTCTCCCAGGAAGTCATTTCTTCCTAGGAAACCCCTTTCCCCCAGACCCCTGCCCCTAAACAGGGTTATCTGGGTCTACAGATGGATTTGTGCCCCACCTCCTCCCCACCTGGGCAGCAGCAGAGAGGCCTTGGTGCTTCTGCCCTGGTCCCAGCTGTTGTCTTACTGCAGTGGCTGAAAAGTGTACTGGAGGCTGCCTGGAAACAAGAACAAGAAAGCCCTCCCCAGCCCTCCCCAGTGCCCCATCCTGACTCTGGACCTGAGTCGGACCCACTAGGCAGGGTCGCTGTCTCCCCCAGGGTCAGGATCAAGGGTTGAGAGGTGGCCAGGTCTCCTCCAGCGGGGCCCCCAGGTTTGAAAGGTGCGGGGATGTCATGGGGGTAGACACGCAGGAGGTTGGCACTGTGTTGTCATGGTCTCGGGCCTGCATTTAGTGAGCACCTCCTGTGTGTCGGACGCAGACCCTGTGCTTAAGCAGTGCCCACCTTCTTCTCTCGGCGGGGGCGGGATGTGGAAGGACCAGAACCAACGGAATTGCTAGCTCAGCCGTGGCGTCGTCAAGGTCTGGGCCCAGAGGCCAGGGGGCGGGGCGCCCGAGAGGAGTGGGGCGGGGCCTGGCTTCCGGGCGGGGCCTGGGCGGGTTTACGCCCGGGAGGCGGAGCCTGCAGGGCAGGGCGGCGGGACCCGCGGGGCCGGCGGGCGGAGCGCCTGGCAGCGGGCCGGAGCTGCGGCGCCGGCTGCCGGCCGAGCGCTACCCGGACGTAGTCGCCGGGCGGGAGGAGAACTCGGCGGTAAGGCACAGGGCGCGTCTCGCCGGCGGGCCCTGGCGGGCGGGGTGCGGTCGCGTCCCCCGGGCTGGCCGGGTCCCGGGGCGGGTCCTGCCGCGGGGCGGGAGCCGGGCGGTCAGTCCCGGCGCGCGGACTGACCTGGACACTGCCGTAGGAAGCGCGGAGCTGGGTTTCGGTTCCGGAGCCCAGGGTGGGGACAGTGTCGCGTCTGTCCCGCGTTCCCGCCGCCTCCCTGGCAACTGCCTGCCGCTGGGTCCCCTGCGTGCGACCACCTGGCCGGGCCTCCACAGGCTCAGGTGGGGGTTTGCTGCCTCTCTTTCTGTCATCCACACTTTGCCCCACTGGCGCGGAGTTCTGAGTCTCCGAGGGGATGGCCGAGTGGCTGGCAGCTTGGCGTGTCGGAGTGCCGGTCCGGTCCCGGCAGCCCAGCCTTGCTCCGCTCGGGGCCTCGCCCCCTCTGGACGGGTGGAGAGCCCGAGCCCTGTGCTGCCCCCTCCACCACCCTGCATGTGCTCAGTGTGCTCATTCCTTGATAGTAGTGCCTCCCATTTGAGCGACCATGCCGAGTGCCCCTAGGAGGCCAGTGAGTGCTCCAGATGGGTTGCCTCATGATTGACAAGGGTGTGTGGTCTTGCAGGCTGTGCTCATAGCCAGGACCCTGCTCAGGAAATGTTCCGCTGTGACCATGACGAAATGTGTGGAATTTTTTCACAACGGTCTTGAGGGCAGAGCCCTGGGTGCTGTCCTGGGCTGGGAGAAGGTTCCTGGTTCAGGTCAGCCTGGCATGACTCCAAGTGACCTGGGCAAGACTGCCAGGCTGCCTCAGGCCCCGCAGGGTCAGAGGGAGTGCTGAGCTCCACTGCTTCCTCTGTCCTTGACCCAGACACCCTGGCAGGGCCCCAGTGAAAGCCCAGCCTTGGGGCCCACATCCATTGCTCCTCTGCTGGCAGAAGCAGGCCTGGGATGGAGGCTCCAAAGGGCTGAGGACTCTGTTCACCTCCCCTTCCTGCCCCCTTTGCGCCCACTGGCTCCCTGCCCCATGTTGGAGCACACCCTGGAGATGGTCAGGCCAGAAGGATGGACAGGTGGGCAGTCCAGTCCAGAACTGGTAGCAGGATCATCTGGGAAAGGGTGATGATAGGGAACCTGGCCTCTCTGTGGAGTCCCTTGGGCCTAATGGGCAGGGAGGAGCTCACTAAGCAGGCTGGCCTGAGGGAGACAGAAGAAGGGATCATGGGCTGCAGGTCTGCTGTGGCCCTTCCTGTTCACATGGACAGAGGAAGTAGGGTGATGAGCCAGCCCCAACGAGCACCCCCACTTGGAGGCAAGCACACACGCAGGTCTACAGATGGGAGGCCCAAGGGTCAGGAGAGAGAAGATAGCCAGCCTTGGCCACAGAGGGGCTGGAAGGAAGAGCTGGGTTCGAGTCCAGGGGTGGCTACTTGCCAGCTGCATGTCTTGCCTAGGAGCCTCCCACACTGAGCCTCCATTGGCTCATCTGCAAGACCAGGTGGTGAGCTTCCAGCTCGGGGTGTCTGAGCACCAAGGACTGCTGGTGGCATGTGGTTGGCATGGAGTGACTGTGAGCCACTGAGGGTGCTTTCTCTGGTCCTAGGCTGCTCTGTATCCTGGCCAGACAGGGCCAGCTGGGGTTAGAGTAGGTGAAGAGCCAAGCCTGGAGAGGCCTGGGGCAAAGGGCAGGCTTCCAGGTTCCTGATGTGGGCAAAGCCCTCAGTCCATAAAGATCTGGCTGGTATTGGGGAGCTACTTGGGACCTCCCCGGTTCTTTCCTCAAAGCTCCATTGTGGAGACACCAAGGGTCAGTGACTGTGGCAGACCCTGCCCTCTTCTCACTGGCCAGTGGCCTCAGAAAGTCCTGGGCACTTTCAGCTCTTTGATAACCTCAGGTGGTTTGTGAGGTACTGGGGGGAGGGAGTAGGTGGTTGGGTAGAGGTGGGCAGCTGGGGAGCTGGGGAAGGTGAGGTCTGCAGGCAGGAGGAGGGCCTCGGAGCAGGGTGGGCAGGCACAGAGGCAGGGATGGGCTGAGCCAAAGCAGGGAGTGATAATGAATCCGGGTGAGTGGAGTGGCCTGTGTACACCAGATGTGGCAAAGATGTGGAGGGGCCTGGGGATCAGTGGAAAGAGCCCTCCAAATCCTGGAGTCCTCTCCTCAGAGTAGGCCTCTGGATCCCTCCAATTACCATTAGGGAGAGGACAGGAGGAAGCCAGAGAAAGCATATGCCTCTGGGCCTTGGTCCAGGAGACCTGAGCCTTCCAGACAGATGATGCTTCCCACCCTGTTTTCTGGACTGTAGAACAGGGGCAGCAGTCCTGGCCTGGGCCACACTGCAGGACTCAGGCTCAGTACCAGGCTCCCAGCTGCTCATGAGCTCCAGGGGTATGGCCTGTGACACAGAGGGCCAACTCAGGGGCAGCTTGGCTCAGAGTGAGGTCCTCCTGGGCATGAGGTTGGGAGGACTTCCAGGAGGGGCCGAACTGCCCCAGCTGCCCTCCCCGCCCTCCTTCCTTCTCCCCAGGCACTACAACTTCTGAGGTTACAGCTCCAAGGCCACCAGAGCCCCCCCTCTGCCCCCCATGGAATTGCCAGCCCCAGGGTTCAGAGGTGGCTGTCCCACAAGGGTTGGGCTTGGTGGGTTCCAGTCATACTTAATTGATCCTTGCCAACTGGCCTCCAGGAAGAATTATGGTTTTGGCTGTGACAGTGGCCTGGGGAGATCTCAGGTCCTGAGGGAATGGCAGGACACCTTCATGGTATCCACGCCCCATCCCTGTGGCCACATTGATTCCGAGAAGTGCCCTCTGCTTCCAGTGAATCACAGGTTGTTGTGCGCTTGCTGAGCCCAGGGTGGGGCAGCCCCCGCCAGCACGCCTGCTCCAGGTGGTGCTCAGCATGGCCAGGGTTGTGCTCCCTCAGTAGCAGAGGGCTGTGCCGGCTCCTGCACCTTCCTTGCAGAGTCTCAGAGCAGGAGCCATGCATGTGAGGCACAGAGCTTCTCCCAGAAACCAACGGGGAGCTGTGTTCCCGGCCTTGGGAGCAGCCTGTGTCTTTGTCCTCCAGTGCCTTGTGACATGGGGTTCAATCAGGTTTGACTCATTATCAGAACAATTAAATGAGATGCTATGAAGGAGTCCTCACTGTGGGCAGCACAGGCTCGGTGAGAGGCCCACCAAGGCCGTATCCTCAGGCTTGGCTGGGCCTCCCTACCCTTCACCCTGCATGGGTGCGCAGTTCCATTTCGGGGAGTGTCTCCAGCCTGGGCACAGGTGCTTTATACTCTAGTGTCATGTTCTGTGGTATTAGAGAGCCATCCCTTTGTCCCTACTCCCTGGCTCGCCACTGGAGCCCTTCCCATTGCCTGAGCCAGGAGTAGGGGTTGACCAAGTCCTGGTCCTCACTGCTGGCTGTCCCTAACCTAAGTGGGAGAAGTCAAGGGCAGTGTGGGGCCGAATGCTGGGGCGGGCCTTGGCTCTGCCTCACAGCCTTGGGCGCAGGGCAGCACCATGGCCTGCCTCTGGGCAGAGCTCCTGCAGCCCTGTGCCCTTCTGTGCTGATTTCCCGTGCACCCGTTCAGGATGAGGCCCAGGCTGCAGGAGCAGACAGGCCCACAGGCCAGAGGGAAGGACTCGCTGGCCGAGGCCCACAGGTAGCAGCTCCGCCTGTCTGGCTCACCTTGCCCTTTTGTTCAAGATATGTGTCCTTCTTGCTTAGTGCTCAGGGGACCCTCCTTGGCTACCCTGGCCCAGGCAGTGGTCATTGTGTGTGGTGGCCTGTCTGCCCTCCCCTCCTGCCTGGGAACTCCTGTGACACAGGCTCTGAGTGCCCAGCCCTTGCAGTGTCTGCAGGTTTCCAGGGGACAAAGGCCCTCCCAGCCTCCCTCCTGGGTCTGGACCTTCCTGCAGGCCTGAAGCAAGCAGCAGGCAGCACAGCCCTCTGCCAGGCTCTCCCCCCCACCCCCGTGTTCAGCTCTCCACGGGGCATCGGAGACAAACGCACCCCGTCATCCTGGAAGCTGCGCCTGCCCAGGTTGGCGGGGTTTCCAACCAGATCAAAACAGGTTGTTGTACCGTGGCCACCGCCTTCGTGAAGCTCTCCAAGTTTCCATCACAGGACCCACCCCTTTGCCGGCTCCAGCTGCTACCTGGCTGCAGGAACCCAGCCACTCGGGTGGGTTCCAAGTGGTCCCACCCTGAAGGGAAATGTTTCCTTTCTCCTTTGGAAAGGTGTGTTGGGGCCAAGATTGGGGTTAGCCTGGCCTCTCCTGAGCCGCCTGCCATAGAGGGGTCCTGGGTGTTGGGTCCTAAAGAGTTGGCACTCAAAGTAGGTGCCAGGAAAAGTGGGATTTGCAACCACTGGAGGAGTGGTGGAAAAGGAGCCAGAAGAGCTAGCCTTTGACCCTGAATGGACAGGTGAGGGACACAGCCTGCACGGGGCTGGGCTGGAGTGGGCAGAGGTATGCCAGGAAGTAGCCTCATCTTGTCTCCCTAACCCTAGCTGCTTCCTCCCTCCCATGTGAGGCCAGAAAGGGAAGTCCCTTCTGGAGGAGGAGCCAGCGGCTAGCACTGTCCCTCTTAGTCCTCCTGTGGCTAGGCAGGTTGTGTGCGTAGAGACTGGCACTGGCAGGCAGAGCAGCAGTCAGCTGGGTGTTTGATTTTTGCAGTACTGGAGAATTGAACCCAGGGGCTCTACCCCTGAGCTACCCCCCTAGCCCTTACTATTTTTTATTTTGAAACAGAGTCTCATTAAGTTGCCTTGAACTTGGGACCCTCCTGTCTCAGCCTCCCAAGTAGTTGGGATTATGTGCCAGTTAGTTGGGTGGGCAAAGGATGGAGTCCCCTCTGCACAGGTCAGGAAGTGGCTTCTCTGCCATCAGCTTCTGCTGTGTAAAACCTTCAGGAGCACAGAGGTGACTGTGATGGGATGCAGGCACCCTTTGCAGTATCTGGGCTGGACAGGGACAGAAGTGCGGCTCATGGGGTTTCTAGGGGTGGGGTTGCCCACTCAGTTGCTGGGGGTTGGACACATGATAGTGACCACTGGCAGCTGTGCACAGAGCAGGCCTCAGAGCCTCCAGAGTTGGCACTAAGCCATGAGACCTCCCTGCCCACTGGAGCTGATGGGCACTTGGGGCCTCAACCTGCTGCTGGAGTCCCTGCCACCGGTCATCTTCACCTACCCAGCTTCAGGTTGCACCCCTGTGCCCACTGGTCACTCTCCTCCATGAATTCCTCCCTATCCTACTCCTTGTCTATCCAACGCCACCCAGTAGGGATGGCTCTGGGGGTACCTTACCCAGCACTTTGTCCCTGGCAGCCTCCAGGGTTAGGACCCCCAAGGACAGCTCCTTGACCTGTGGGGGAGCTGTTCCAAGGTGAGGCTATAGGGGCAGAATCTCTGGACAGATCTTCCTAGGGGCCCTCTCCAACTAAGCTCTTTCCATTCCAGACCCCAGAAGACCACCTAGGAGGTGGGGTGGGGCAGGCCTGAGGAGGCGGCTTCCGAGAGGAGGAGGGGCCCTGGCTCCAGTTTCACTTGATATAAAGTTGGGGAGGGACAGAGCCCACCTCTGAGCACACCTGCCATTCAGGCCTGGCTTGGAAAGTTTGCCACTTGTTGAAGGGACTATTTAAGATCCGTCTTCCCATTTTCTCAAGGATGTGACCAAGAG